CATAGTGATCACTGTCAGGCCAAACAGAGCCTTGGGGAACACCACTCTCTACTGCAACCTACGCCCACTGCTCGTCATCGACATGGACAATTTGAGATCGGTCAAATAAGAAGCTTCAAATTCATTTCAAGAGATTTTTTAACACCTGTTCTGCTGAGTTTACACAAATTTCGTTGATTTGAGACAACGTTGAATGCCTTTTCGAAGTCAATATAGACTACAAGAAGAAGAGTTCTTTCATCAACTGACGAAATTCCATGTTAAAAACAACAGAGGAAGTTCGTCACGCATGACCTGCCTCTACGTTATGCATGCTGCGCATCCGAAAGTGTGTTATGCTGCTCTGTTAATTGACAATGTTGATATTAAACATCATCACTTATATCTGCTCTTTGTAAATTGAAACTGTGTGCAATGCCTTAGGAAACCTCCATAGTGGTACGAATTTTACAACTTTTATTTGATAAAAACGTTCATAACGGGGTCCTTTTTACGCTATTTTCACATTTTTACTTCTTTAGACGTTCTGTTGTTTAAACATGTCATTCTTCAAGGCTATTTTTCATCAATTAGATGTTTCAAAATTGTGGTTTTCTGTTGTTTTGCCGATAGAGAGGATCATCACAATATTGGCTTTCTTAAGAAGCACCAACTGAATGACCTGGCTTCCTGTTCAGGAAGAGAATAAATGGCGATGTGGTACTCATACTATCTACTCACTATTTGTTAAGTTGTGTCCAAGTACTCGGATATTTATGGCAAATCCCTGTCTCTGGATCTCGGAGATTGGGTTTACGTCCAGCTGGAATGTGATGGTATAACATTTTTGATATTTTTTAGTTCAGGATGGTATTATGGCTATAAAAGCGCAGAACAGGAGGTCCGTGGTATTTTTCCGAAAGTCTGCACTCGTTCGCCCAAGGATCCACAGTTGTGTGATGTATACGCCGAAATTCTTTCTTTACTTCCGGCTGTGGAATCAGCGTTCATTGTAATTTATAATTTACTTATTGGAATTAACAGCATGGGAAATCAGATGATTTTAAACTTGCCTCATCACTATTGCTTGATGTGGCATCGACCAAGCTGAAATCACGGGATTCGATAATATCCGTATGTTTTGAATTCTGACATTTCTCTTTTTTATGCAGGAAGAAATCGAAACTTACCGAAAAAGAATAATTGACTCAATTTGTCTTTGTGAAAGGTATACAATTCACTTTGCATGTCTTGATCACGTGTAGGAAACTCCAATTTCCTTTGCAAATTCGCTCATCAGATCCTTCTATGGTCAATGGTGTAGTTTCCCTAGATGAGCACAAGAACCTCGTCAAAGACATCCGAAATTTGGAGGTAGTCTTTATTTTTTCTCTAGTATTTTTAGAATGATCTTATGCTTCAGAATTTGAGATGTAGAAGTAAATTATTATAATTTGCTTCTGGTTTATGGCGGTCCCAGTTTATGTTGTCTCCTCATATACCGTTTTGCATAAGAATGCACAGTCGTCAATTGTGTGGGGTATAAATGCCATGCTCGTTTACTTCTTTCTCCGAAGACCTTTGCTCTTATATCAAAGGCCTACATTTGGCCACAATTTGTACTAAGATATGAACGTCTCATAAGGCCTGTAACCTGCCACATCTTTATTTTTTCTTAGTTAGAGACCTGAGAGTGCTTTTTGGAATCAAGGAAGTGTATTTTTGAATTGTAAATGTAAATTGAATTTCGATTTGCACATATAAGGACCATCCCATCCCTTCTCTGATGGGTATTTTCCGTAATTTAGCAAAAAAGACCTTATGTCGAATTTCTCGGTTTCTTTTTTTGCACACACACACACACACAGAATCGCTCAATAAGGTGTAGTTTTCGGGCGCCATATACGCGCTGCTACACAATTGCATTCATATTATTTATAATTTGCAACTTTCTCCAGATTCTCAGTGTTTTATTTGCCATGATTTATCTATAAGTACAGACAGTCGTCGATCACAGATTCAAGTTAACTTTCTTTGAACAACATATTTGTTTTATTCTCTATCGTTTTTTTATTTGCCGAGAGCATAA